GCAGAGACTTCATGACTCCTTACTGAAGTTTGTAGAGAGGGTTTTGGTACCCCATTGGAAGCTGGAATCAGGGATGTTTAAGGTCACCATTGGGAAGTCATGAGTCTGCAACTCCAAGAAATCTTCCCTCTGATGTAGCAGGACACTATTCTTCTGCTCACTTGGCCTAAAGTTCCCAGAGTTCAAAGTCACTTCTTGGGGGCACTCCATAAAAAAACAGAACCCTGTCTCCAGAAGGGCCCTTTGGAACATATGTGGGCCAAGCAGGAGGCAGCCCCCAGCCCACTCTGTTTGACTAAGATACAGTTGACGTTATCTGACTTGATAGTGATTCTATGGAAGGCAGAGGAGCCCAAATCAGTTTTGATGGAGCTGTGTGGATGGCCATAGGGAAGGAAGATCCCTCGCCACACCTTGCCTGGCAAAGAAAGGGCTAGGGCCAGGGAGACTCCTGAACAGTAAGCACTACCCACATCCTGGCATTTCTTCTGGCAGGGTCATAAGAATCTCATGATTCTTATGAGCAGGGGCTGGGGCTGATGTTGTCCTGGTGCTCCTGGTCAGTGGTAGACTTGATGGTGTAGGAGACAGTGAGGGGGGTGCCCATCTCTTCACCCACACTTCAGAGCTGCCCACCTCTAGCCCCCGGCTCTGGATGGCAGGAGCCCACACCTGGACTAAGGACTCTGAGAAGCACCATGTGCCTGCAAGCAGATGGCGGGGTCCAAGTGAGTTCGCCTGGATTTCACTCACAGTGCAGAGGCACAGTGCACGTGGCTTTAGACGAGGTAACCCATTGCCACATGTATATTGGCTATATTTTTGCCTCCTCCCACTTCCTGACCTCCATCTTCCCCCTCCCCTCCAGATGTGAAGGAGGGTGAAGAAGAGATAAAATATCAAAGAGCTTGAATCTGCAGGTCAGGTGACTTGCTGCTATCTATAAGCCTTGAAAGAATTGCAACGAATGTTATCACTACCAGCCAGGGCCCAGCACTGGGTCACGTCCTCCACGTTTGCATGACCCAGGCTCCCTCCTGGAAATACCTCTGCCAACTACTAATTTACTGCCTTTGTCTTGTCTCTGTAAACCCCCTCCCCTGCCTGTTCCCGCTCACACTGCGTATGAACTAGCAAATCAATGAAGCCAAAGATTGTAAGGTCAAATGTCCAGTCAATGGACAAGGACACTGTTTTGCCTCAGTTTCCCCTTTAGACAGAGCCCCACCTCCTCTCTGAAGACTGCCTGGCTGGCCACAGCCTAGAGGATTCCCAGTTCTCCCATCTCAGAAGGACTTGAGGACCTCTTGTCTCCTGCACTGTGGCTTTGGACCCTGTGCTAAGGTCTGGGGTGTACCCAGCAATGCCAGGCCTCTCTTCCTTCGGAGGCTGTGAGCAGACTGAGGCCAGCGCTGGCTCCTGTTCTTTTCTGCTGTGCTCCACCTCACTCAGTGCTGAGCTGTGTCCGTGCAACTGTTCTGCATGTGTTACCGGAAAGGGATCACAATCCAGACCCCAAGAGAGGGTTCTTGGACCTCATGCAAGAAAGAATTCAGGGCAAGTGCACACAGTAAAATGAAAGCGAGTTTACTAAAAAAAGTAAAGGAATAAAGAATGGCGACTCCATAGGCAAAGCAGCAACATGGGCTGCTTAGCTGCTTATATGTGTTACTTCTTGATTATATACTAAACAAGGAATGAACTATTCATGAGTTTTCCAGGAAAGAGGTGGGCAATTCCCAGAGCTGAGGGTTCCTCCTCTTTTTAGACCACATAGGGTAACTTCCTGATGTTGCCATGGCATTTGTAAACTGTCACTGGCACTGGCAGGAGTGTTCCGTAGCATGCTCAGCATTATAATTTGTGCATAATGTGCAGTGAGGATAGCCAGAGGTCACTTTCGTTGCCATCTTGTTTTAGGTGGGTTTTAGTCAACTTCTTTACTGTAGCCTGTTTTATCAGCAAGGTCTTTATGATGTGTATCTTGTGCCAACCTATCTCACCCTGTAACTTAGAATGTCTACTCATCTGGGAATGCAGCCCACTGGGTCTCAGCCTTATTTTACCCAGCCTCTATACAAGACGGAGTCACTCTGGTTTAAACACCTCTGACACACATACCCAAAGAAGTGAGGAGAAGGGGCTTCAGAGCTCATCTCCACCCTCCTGTTACAGTCTCACCAATGTACCACAATGTAGCAGTCTCTCACTGTTTGAGGTATCACCTGGAGTTCTTTGTCTCACAACCATGAAAATTAAGGGGCATGGACACCAAGGGTGAGGTTGGTGGGAAAGTTTAATAAGCAAAGGAAGAAAGCTCTCTGCCTAAAAGAAGAAGGGGCCTGAAAGAAGGTTGCCATTTTTACAGTTGAATGCAAAGGCTTTTATAAGAAACTGGCAAGAGCTGGGCATCTCATTTGCATAAGGTTTGAATTTCTGTAAGCTCCACCCTGTCTTTTTTTTTGAGATGGAGTCTCACTCTGACACCTAGGTTGGAGTGCAGTAGTGGGATCTCTGTTCACTGCAACCTCCACTTCCTGGGATCAAGGGATTCTCCTGCCCCAGCCTCCTGAATAGCTGGGACTACAGACATGTGCCACCACGCTTGGTTAATTTTTCTGTATTTTTAGTAGAGATGGGGTTTCACCATGTTGGTCAGGTTGGTCTCAAACTACTGACTTCAAATGATCCACCTCACTCGGCTTCCCTAAGTGCTGGGATTATAGGTGTGAGCCACTGCACCTGGCTCCACCCTGTCCTTCTAATGTGCAGGCGCTTAAGTGACTCCATATTGCTTTGGTCCCCTTACTCCACATGTCAGGGGATGAAATTTTCCATTGTGAGCATGTTTGGGCAAATCACCTGTGTAGTCTTTCTTATCTGTGAGGCTGTGGGCATGTCTTAGGCATGTTCCGCTGTAAAAGTTCCCTTATTTGTGCCTGCAGCTTGATTTTTCAGTCTGTTCTTTTGTTTAAAAGAATTCAACTGCCTGCCAGACCGGTTTCTTCCTTTCTCCTCTCTCACACCTTTTCCAGATAAGGAAACAGGATTAGAGAGGGGCAGTGACTTGCCAAGGCCACACTGAGATGAGTCCACTCTGTACCCTCACCTCTTCAAAAGAGGACCTTACCAAACGGGACTGTCATCAGGGCCCCCAACATCCATATGCGACGATGCTTGGGAAGAGAGAGAACAAAACCAAGAAATAGAATCCTAAGGTCTTAAATGTAATGTGGGAAACAACATTAGAGCGGGGGAAACAACATTAGAGCGGGGAAAACGTCAGGAACAATGGTAATGAGGCATTTACATCGTTGTACAATGCTTATGTTCTTTTATACTGAAACCGATCTTGAGAAGTAGGAATTACTGTTCTCTTTCACGAGAGAAAATTTTTTCTCTTTCACGAGGAAAAATGGGGCCAAGGGTTAGTGACTTGCTGAGGTCACACAGTGACAGAGTGGCATCTCAGGTCCCTGTCCCTGATTTCTTTCCTAGGGCTCCTCCCCGCAGGCATCTCACTGTCAGAGGAAGCAGGGCCATCAGTGTTGCCTAGCGTGAGCTCTTGGGGAGCTATTTTCTCCCAGGTGTGTTAAGCTCCCTCCTAGTACACATCAGGGTGGTGGCCACACCTTCATGATAGGGAGAACAGCTATCTTAGCAAGTTGCTTGCTAGACAGAGATGTGTGTGTGTGTGTGTGTGTGTGTGTGTGTGTGTGTGTCCCCTGGATGGGACCAGAGCTGTCAGTTCTTCAACCTCAGTATTCCCTCTATTGCCCCCTCCTGGACATAGGGAAGAAGTACCTCCTTCCTGCTGTTCCCCAGGATTACTCCCTGCCCCGCTGCTCTCCCCACATCCATCCTGAAGTGACCCCCTCTGGCTGATCACCAGGGTCCTGGCTATATCACTCTCCTGGCCACTGGAACGTCCCTGACCCAAGGTTGAATGCAGAGTTGTCACATTTATCCCTAGGTGCTATTCCAGTCACTCCTGGTCAGTAGACTCCCCTCTCTGGGGTTGGGAATCCAGGCTGCATTCTTCAGCCTTCATTGCTGGACCCCAGGCGGGTTGTCTGTGCAGCAGAGGCTGAGTCCGAGCCATGAGTCAGCACCCTCCACACAGAGCCAAGGTCTCAGCCACCCCAGGGTGTGGACTTGCTGAAGGCTGCTGAGTCCCCTGTGGGAACTCAGACCTGGAGCCCAGATGTAGAAGCTGGGGGAAGGAGCCCCAAGTCCAGCCTCTCAACTTCAGTCTGGGGAGAAACCGACCCTGCAGCCTAGAGGCTCTTAGCTGAGTGTTTCTTAGGAGGCAGCGGCCAGCAGGTGGCAGCAGTGAGAGCATGGGCTCTGCAGGGTCCCGGAGCAGGAGGGAGGAGCAGCCCCAGCCAGTCAGGGCAGGGCCATCCAGAGGCCCAGCAGAGGACACGTGGCCTGACGGGGAAAGGCGCCGATCCCTCTGTGGGTCCTCAGCTCTTAGTCACTGTCTCCTCTCCTCCAGGATGGGACATCGCTGCCTCTGGGACTCGTGAGCCCAACTCTCTTCCCTAAGCTTAGGGGAAGCCGGAGCGGAGCAGAGGGAAGCGGAGGACGCAGAGGCGCTGGTGGGGAGGAGCAGCTCGGCCTGATAGTAAGGGGTTTCTGAGGCAGACGGGAGCTGAGGTTCTCTGTAAACAGAACTCTCAGGGTTCCCCTGCCCTCCACCGAGAGCGCCCGGAGTCTGCGGCTCTGAGCAGAAACCACTGGACACATTTCCTCGGGACTTCCTGCCTGAGGCCCTTGGCTCTGGGCCCCTCCGCAGATTCCTGCAGCCCAGGAGAGCACCGGGCTGCGGGGCTGCTCAGGAGGGCAGCCTCTGGTTACAGGAAGGCTCGGGTGAGTCCAGCACTGCACACGTCCTCCAGCTTCATCTCATCCAGACTGGCCCCAATCTTCACCCCTCCTCTAGCTCCCTGGGGCCTCTCTGGGAGAAGCTCCCCACCCCATGTGGAAGTGGCCTCAGATCAAGCAGGCTTCCACAGGGGCTCTGGCCTTCTAGGTGGGTCACGTCTAGAAGGATCGCTGCACATGCTGTAGCCTGCAAGAAACAGGGAGAGCTGAGGAAGGGCCCTGCCCTGACCACCGTACCCTGATGCCCCTCCACCAGCCCCAGCCCCAGCCCCAGCCCCAGCCCCAGCCCCAGCCCCTTTCTGGCTCTGCCTCTGGTTCCTTCCAGGTCATCCCCTTAGGGTTATGCTGGGTGTTCTCTGCCTGGCCACCCTCCTCCCTAGGTGGAGACCTCACGGTTCCTTTTGACCTTTGACTGGACACAGGCCAAGGGCCGTACCACCTGGGGACTCGAGGTCATAACCCTTCGCGCAGTTATACAGAGCTCTGCCCTCAGGAGGCTGGGAGGTGGGCTCTACTCACTTCCCATGTGTCTCTTCTTCCAAAACCCATAGACCACGATCAGCATCAGCAATGGGAGGAAGGTCAGCACCACCACAAGCACAGTGGAGTAATCATCCTGGTGCCTGAGAAGGGACAGAGCAGAAGGGGGCGAGAATCAAGGCTCCCCACCCCAACCCACGTTGGAGTCAGACCAGGGATAAACCCAGCAGCAGAAACCCTGAGAGCATGCCCTTCCTGGGGTAGACGGCCACCCTCTTCCTTGCGGTCCTGGCCATGGGAGAAGAAAGTGGGCCACCTGGTTAAGGGGAGGACATCCCCAGGTAGAGGGGAACCTCTCTCTACTTTGCTACCTCTCCTTCATTATGCCCCCAAATCTGTTCATCAGTGAGGATGAGGATTCTAGGAGACTCCCATCTGTGGCTAAAGAGATCGAGATGCTTGCTGCCCTCAAGGAGCCTGAGGATGCCTCTTCCCCACTCTGTCCTCTGCAGCAGATGCTGTCAGGGCCTGCCTGTATCCCCATTTCCATGCACACGGATCGTCAGCACCTCCTTTTCTGTGGGCGGGAGGCTGAGGTCTTTCTCTTGTCACTGGAGCCCTCTATGCCACACACAGCAGTCGGCCCACTGCCGATGGCCCGTGGGAGTGGGCGTGTGACTACCCCGGCTCCTTTGCCCTTCAAATGTGTGTTTAACACCGGATCTCAGAGTCTTCCATTGGAATTAGGCTCTTGTTGTGCACAGTAGCTGCTTGGTTAAGTACTCTTTATCGGAGGACTTCCCTGCCCTGTCCCACTCCCCCACCCTTTTTCCAGTGCTCCACATAAGATGCAAATCCCTGCCTCGGAGTCAGCTTCTCTAGGGGAACCCAAATTAAAGTATCCCCCACTTTCTACTTCCTACTCCATGAGGCACATTCTTGTCCCATCCTCACCCTCTTCTCTCCATCCACAGACTCTTCAGGCCACCATCCCCTGACATGCTCATCTCTGACTCTCATCCCCACTGGCCCTAATTCTACAGGCTCTCATCACTCCCTACCCTCATCTCTGCAACCCTCCTCTCCCTGATACTCCTCCCACTGGCCTTCTTCTTCCCAGACTCTCCTCTCCCACAGCCTTCACTTCCCCTCATCCTCTTCCCCCTGACCCTAATGCCCCCGACTCTCATAGTCCCCTACTGTCATCCCTGCCACTCTCATCTCCCCCTTTTATCCCGACCCTCCTCTCTGCTGACACTTCCCCTAACCTTCTTCCCCCACACCCTGCTCCCCACTGACCTCTCTTCCTCCCCATCCTCCTTTCCACTGCCCTTCTTTCTCCCTGACCCTTCTTCCCCCATCCTCCTTTCCCCTGCCCCTCCTCTTCCCTAACCCCCTAACCTTCCTCCCCCCGCCCCTTCTCTTCCCTGCCCCTCCTCCCTATTGACCACCCTCTCCCATCCTCCTTTCCCCGCCCCTTCGCCCCACTGACCCTCCTCCTCCCTAACCTTCCTCCCCAACCCTCCTTTCGCATGACCCTCCTCCCTTCCCCTGCCCCTCCTCCCCACTGACCCTCCTCCTTTTCGCTGCCCCTCCTCCCCTCCCCCTCCTTTCCTGACTCTCATTCCCACAGACCCTCCTTTCTTCTGACCTCCTCTTTGCCCTGACCCTCCTCCCCAACGCCATCCTTGATGTCACTTCCAGTCCCCCACCTCCCATTGAGAAGCCGGCCACACTGGGTTCCTGAGGAGCAAAGGGGAAAGGTTAGACATGGGACTTGCACCTCAAGGTCTGTTTGTCTGTTTGGGCACTACGTGCTGGTGCCACATCCGGTAAGATGGCACTCAACCCCAGGCCCCATGGGTACCTGATGGAGGGTAGTCTGTTGAGGAGAGACCTGCTGGTGAGGCAGAGCCCTGTGGTGGGCGACCTGGTGCTGGGGTGACCAGACTTAGTGGAGACGGATTCTCCAGCGGAGGCATTGCTGGGAGACGCAGTCACTGTCTGAGACTCCGCGGTGCTCCCGGATCCCTTTCTGGTGGTGCTGGTAGCAGTGAAGCTGTAGCCTCTCTTGGAGGCAGGTCCGGTGGAGGCCAAGAGGGTAGCCAAGGTAAAGAGTCCCGGGGTGAATACCATCATGCCAGTGGTGAAAGGGGCATCAGGGCCTGAGGTAGGGGCTTGGCCAGTTGTAACAGTTTCACTCTTGAGGATGTTGGTCAGATGTGTGAAAGGAGTGTTCCTCTCAGTTTTGGGAGCTGAAGGACAGAGAGGGAGGAAAGTCAGACTGACTTGGGGGCCTCAGTGCTGGGAGCAGATCCTGGCAGCCCACACAGTTTGCTGGACGCTGGGATGGGGGACCTGTGCTCTTCTCTTCTCCTTGAGCTTGGGCCTAGGATCCTGGCTGCTGAGTGATCAGATGTGTATCTGTTCAGAAAGTGATATCCAGGAAGAAAGAAGTAGGCGTACTGAAGAAGGGAAGGACTGTGATTTCTTTTTCTTTCCCGTGTCAGGTCACCTGTTCCCTCTCCATCCCCATCCCTCTCCTGTCACTTTCCGGGCCCTCTTCCTTCCTGTAGGCCAAAAACATTTCTATAAAATCACGTGGAGCAGGGACTTTTCCAGCTGTTCTGTAATTGAGAAGTAGGGTCCAGAGATGAGGACATGGAGGCATCAAGGACCTCAAATTCCAAAGAAGCGGCAGTCGTTGGGGTCAGACACTTTCCTTAGGAGCTCACTCAGAGATGATCAGACTGGTCCTGCTACACTCACCCATCAACCCAGCCCTTTCCCACCCCATTTTCTAGAAGAAGCCTGGGTTCTGAATAGTGGCTAACGAGGCAAGTGGAGGAGCTTTGAGGCATCAACCTAGCAGTGAGTGTTGGTCTGTCTCAGCATGGAATGAGAAAGTTGGAGAGAGAGGCTGCTGCATCCCACGACCGTGCATGGAAAGGACAATTTCCTAAGGGCCAAATGGTCATCATGGAAAGTGATGGAAAGTGGCTGCGCTTGGGCCATTTTTCTGGGGAAAGGAACTCAAAACAAGCAGCATTGGTGAGGATAGCGATAGAGCAAGAGGCTCACCTGGAGCGAGAGCTCCCAGATCGTCATACTCGGCAATGGGGGCACCCCCAAAGAACTCTTCAGAGAACTCACACATCAGTGCCTTGGGAGAGCATGTGGACACTCAGAGAGACTCTCAAAGGGCTGGCAGAAGAGGAATGACATCCACCAGAGAGAACACTCCTACAACACTCAGTTAAGCCATATAACCATCTCCGTCTCCCTCGTTCCTGCATCAACATGCTTAGAGGGCCAGGAGGAGGTAACCAAGAGGAACCCTGCATTCTCCACACCCCAAGATGCAGGATGGGGAGCTGGGCAGCCAGCAACCTTCCTTTTCCACTTTAGGTGCCTTGGGCCATACAACCTGGTCTTCAGGGGGTCAGCGGAATATCCTATACTGCTAGATGTCTAGAGTTTGTCATTGGATTCAGGATTTTTTTTATTTTCTAATAACTGACAAGATCTGCAAAGTTGGAATCTTCACAAGTTGCCCTCAAGAAGTGAAAAGTGAGATTTGACATAACATGATCAGGGGAAATGATGAGAAAAATAAAAGCATGTAACGTTTAATGTTTCTGACCCCACAAATTAAGACCTCAATGAACCAGTTTCAACTTCCCTGTGTCTAACTCGGAACTGGAGAGGGGAGGAATGAGATTTGGCTCCACATTTTAGCAACAGCGCTTTCCCTACCTCAGACCCCATGGAAGATGCAGATGCAATTGGGTTAGGGGAACAGGGAAGGGTGGATAGTAAATTGCATAATAACTGGCTGCTTTTTTTGGACTCTTTAGCTGACTCCCTTTCCTTTTCTATCTTATAAATGCAGAAGGACCTCACGGCTTGGTGTTCCACTCTTTTTTGCCTACACTCAAGGGAGAGCTTTTAGATCTTGATTTTTTTTTTTTTAGCAACTTTATTGAGATATAACTCACATCCCATTTATAGTATAAAGCTCAATGGTTTTTTAGTGTGTTTACAAAGTTATGCAACCACCATCATGGTGAATTTTAGAACATCCTCATAATCTCCAAAAGAAACCCCTTACTGCATATCTATGACTCTGTATCCCCTTTTCCTTCCCCTAACCCTAAGCAACCACTAATCTACTTTCTGCCTCTATAGATTTCTCTAATTTCCTCAACTTTAAATAGTATCTTTATAGAGATACTTTCAAATACATACCCCAGATCTGACCTCTCACCTGAGCTCCAGACAGATATATCCGCTGCTGGCTGCATTTCCCCACCTAGGATTCTAGGAGGTGTCTTAAACTTAACACGACAAAAGAGAGCTCTTGATTTTTCTTCTCCAAATTAGCTCCTCTTTCAGATTTACCCTTCGCGATCAATGGTACCATCATCCACCCGCTGATCAAACAGAAAACCTTGGATCATCCATGATTCCTCCCCTTGGCTCACCTCTCAATTGAGCAAATCCTGTCCTACCTCCAAAACGAGCTGAACAGAAAGTCTGAAAAACAGACTTGAGCCCATTCACATCTCTCTGCCACTAGTGCCTACATTGTACTCCAAGCCACTGTTATGTCCCACCAGATGCCCACAGTGGCCTCTGCCCATGTTCATCCTCAACAAGTGGCCACTACATTCCTAAAAACGAGTCATGACACACTCTCTGAGCTCTCTATTAGCTTCCTCTTATACCCAAATTCCATCTTATAATCTTCAGGGCTGCCTGACTCTCCAACCCCATTGTTTATTGTCCCACACTCAATGTGGTGTCACTAAATAAGCTTTATACAAGCCAAGCTCCTTCCGACCTCAGGACCTTTGCACATGCAGCTCTTGCCACAAAGTGCCCTTCAAAGCACCAAGATTTCAACAGGGCTGGAGAACACTCACCATTTAGGGCTCTGTTTGGTGTCATATACTCAGGAAGGTGGTTTCTGACCCCCAGTACTTCAGTAGCTCCTCCATCACTGAGTCACTCCCTAGTTCATGAATACCTCTAGTTATCTGCAATCATTGGAAACACTTCCTAGTTTCTTGTGAATGCCTCTTGTTATCTGCTATTGTTTGCCTGGATAATAAGTGTGCCTGTCATCTCCCATAGGACAGGACTGTGAATGTTTTTGCTCACTACTGTCTCCTTAGAGCCTAGAATAGTGCCTGCCGCATAAAAGGGGCTGAGTGGATTATGGTGAAGCAATGAGTGAATGGAACACAGCACAGACAGTCCCAAAGCTGAACCTCATCTCAGCCACCTGCTCGGGCTGGGACCCTGGACAAGCTCAGAGTCACACTGGGTTTTCAGGTCTCATTATCTTCATCTCTAAATAGTGACAATAGTGCCGTGAATCGTGCCAGAAAGGCGCTCTCAAAACACTACAGTGCCACATGACCACGGATGGGTTACTGTCCGTATCATCTCTGATGATAGTGGAGTGTGGGGCAGGGAGGACTCCCTCCATCCGTCCCAGTGCCCCTCCAGCCCACTCACCCGGAGACACGTCCAGCTGGATGCCCAGCATGGGGTACAGGGTCCCGGAGCTGTTGCGCATGCACCAGTATCGGCCCGAGTCCTGGAGCGTGAGGGTCGCCATGGTGATGTTGACCACCTGGGCCTGGGCATCGTCCTGCAGCAAGTAGCGGGGTCCCTTCACCCAGGCTCGGGTGAAGCCAGGCTCACACTTTCTCCTCCTGATTTTGCACCAGACCTTGCCGTCCACGCGGTTTCTGTAGCCTTTGTAGGAGCACAGCACAGACAGAGTCTCCCCTTCAAGGAGCCTCACTTTTGTGTATGCGCTCTCAGCGGGGGGTCCTGGGGAGACAAGGCTTGTGGAATAAGGTCTGGCAAGAGCAGAGGAAGAAGGCATCATGAAAGTTGAAGATCGTGGTGAAGGGTGATGTGGATGTTGTCCTGCTGCCATGGAACCCACATGATTGAGGGGGAAATACAGCCCCACCCTCAGGGAGCTTGCCCCAGTCTGAGGGGTGGTTCACCAGCCCTGAAAACAGCTGGCACCCAGTATTATGGGGGAGACACAGGCCCCTCCCTCAGGGAGCTTTCAGTCTGGTGGAGGAGGCAGCTTTATCCCTCCGGGAGCCCCAGTCTAATGGAGGAAACGCAGCCCTGACCTCGGAGCTGCATCAGACACACCCCTTTCCTCATGGTATTCTCTAGTCTGATGGGAGTGTGACAAGCTCTGTCTTCAGGGATTCCCAGGGAATTCTTGTGGGATAGACTCAGGTCACGCCCTCAGTGAGGCAGATGCAGAGACACAAACACAAGCCATTAAGTTCTGAAATTTCAGTGCCCAACTAATTAGGTAGATTAGAAAATCCAGTATTTGAAAAAATCATGAATAGTTCTTTCACAAATACGTTCACTGAAGTCCTCTTTAAATAATAACCTGCCTCAGTTCATTCTAGCTGGTGTTTAGTTTTAAAATATTCTAGTTACATGAAACCCTTAGATCAAGCCTGTCCAAATGTACATTTAAACAAACTCCCAATGGAGTGGGAACCACAGGATTCTGCAATTATTCATTTTCCATGTGCAGTGTCTGCTCTCTATGCTGACGTGTTAGATGTGGTCCAAGCCTTCATAACCCACAGTCTGGTGGAGAGAGAGCAGAACTGGTGTGTGGCGGTGACTCTGGGGTCAGTGGGAGGGAGAGAGCTGCCGGAGGTCCCTCCACCCCTCTGCCCAACCCAAGCTCAGCGCTGACTCTTCTGATAATTTTACCCCCAGAGCCTTCCACAAACACACACACACACACACACACACAAAACTTTACCGCAGAGTAGAGAATAGAGAGCACACGTTTTAGAGTCAAAATAAGCAAGGGTTGAAACCCTGTTTCTACCACTTAACGGTGTGATCGGGGCACCTGTTTGATACCAAAATATCAAAACAGACACTTGACACTTGACTGACACAGAAATATCTCTGTTTCTGTATCAGTCAAGTGAGAATAGCACCACACCGCTCACAGGTTGCTGTGAGAATTCTGCCCCAGGTCAGTGCTTTGCACACTGTGGGTGCTCAAATGCATGCTTCCTTTTCCCACATGCAGGGGATTCCCAGCTCCCCCAGTGGAACCCAGAGCTGTGACAGTCAAGGGCCCAGAGCTCGGGACATCTGTCCTGCTTCCCACCCAGCAGCCACCAGAGCTGAGGCTCTATATGAGGCGGTGCCCTCTCTGAACATCCCTCCATTCCTTGCAAACTAAACAGAATGATCCAACTCCATTACTTGGTGGATGAGCCTAGAATTTCTTAGCACAGGAGAGACCCCTTTCTGCCCTGGCAGTGGGAAGCTGCCTCTCTACCTCTGGGAGGTGCAGAGGTGGGCAACCTTGAGATGGGTCTCTAGGGCACTGTGTTCATATGTGCCTACAACTCCCACCCTTCTTACTGGCAGTGGTGAGTGAGTTTTGCCAACACCCACTATGCCCACAACTGAACAGGAAGTGGTAACGTGGTTGCTATGGCAGCAGGAGGGCAGGAATGGGTGAGGTCCCTCAAGGAGCACGGGTATATGTAAGGTGGGAAAGGCGTTCAGAGATTGGTCTCTTCAGGACAGAGGCAGGGACAGGATGTGGCATCAGCATTTCAAGGAAAATGCTCAAATTCAGTTCAAAGCATTCATGATGCAATGACTGCTGTCATAACTAAACAAAACCGAGGTGGCTATTTGTGTGAGGAAATAAAGTGACTCTGCTTTGAAGCCTGAGGAAGCCTAGGAGATAAAGGGGCCAACGCAGAGAGGGTCCAGGGCTTTATCTTAGCCTGGGAGGCCTGGATTAGCTTTGCCTGGGGCCTGATCTCAGCGTAAAGAGTTACTAAGTCAGCACTAATCTCCTCCTTCCCCAACCCACAAAACACTCCACAAGAAAACTGCAGGTAAGGAGGGTTAGATAAAAGGCCCTGTGCTCCTGCCTCTGTTCCCACTCCCTCCTCTACGAGGCAGCCCCTTCTCCCCTCACCTGAGACGCAGCCCTGTGGCCACGGCAGCAGCGGCAGCAGCAGCAGCAGGAGCGCAGGGACCATGGCTCCATCCAGCTGGACAGTCACAGGCCCAGCAAGGGGCCAGCGCAACCCGGGGATCCAAGGTGAGGGCCCAGCCGACACAGGACGTGCCACCTGGGCCTGCCAGGGAAGGACCTGGGGTTCTAAAAGTGAAGCTGCCCATTTAGGGAAGTGAGGCAGTGTGGGACCCACTGCCCCCAGCCGACCGCAGGAGCCCATAGAGCCTATCGCAAGGGCAAGGGCGGTGCTGGCAGCTGTTTCCGCCCTTTTCCTCGGAACTTCAGGCAGGTGTGGCTGCTCCACCCAGTCTGCGGGCCAAGCCCAGGGAGGGCTAACAGCCAGAGGGCCCCCAGCCTTCCCCTACCTCCCCCAGTAACTGATCCCTAGGATCCAGCTATGGGGTTGAGGTGAGGCTTCTGAAATCCCAGGTATAGACTTTCCTGGAATCTCCTGGGCTCAGAGACCCAGGAGTACAGGCTCTCAGGCTGAGACGGAGCATCTCAGACCCTGGTTTCTTAAATACACACATTCACAGGGAAGTTCCTGTAAACTCTCATTCATTCATTCATTGCAGATGCATTCTTTCTGTTCCTTCCTCTCTCTCTCTCTCCCAGGTTCCTGGCTACTCAGTCACTTGGTTGACTGTTGCAAATAACCTCTTACAGGCTCACTTGAAATCTTGTTTTTGTCAAGGGGGGAAAAATCCAAATTGTAAGACTCAAGGCACAAAGTTTGGGTAGAAGGAGGGGCTTCTGTACTCTCACACATGAGTGTGTGTGCACATGCACTCACACTCACACAATCTCACCTCTTTTATTCACTTTCACACAAACACACACACACATGCCCATGCACACACTCACACACACACTCCAGCGGCCCCTCCTCTGCCCTACCCCTGCATCTCCTGTCTCTACCCCTCTCTCTGCCTCTCCTCCTGTCGTCTCTACTCACCACCAGCTCCCTCTACACTCCTAGTCCCTCCCACAGGCTTCCTAAAGCCACCGCAGGGCTTCCCCTCATCCACCTCACCTCAAGAGCCCTTTCCTCCCGTGCCTCCAGCCTCCATCAGCACACAGGCAAGCCCCCTCCACTTCCTGCTGCTCAACCCTATCTCGCCTGTACAGCCAACAGCTCCGGTGGAAATGACCCAGCACTTGGCCCAAGACCTCACCCTTACACTTATCCCAAGGCCTAGAGTCAGAAGCATCGATTTCTGATGTTCAGTAGCTGTGTCACCTGCTCCTTCAGTGTGTGGGAGTCCAGTTGGATCCCCATGGTTATATATGCTCCCCCTACTCACCAGTGCTACGTTTCCACTCCTTAGATGGGACTGTCAAAAAGTAAACTGAGGCACAATAAAATTTTAAACGGATTATTTGAGCAAACAACAACTCATGAATCAGGCAGCTCCAAACAGAACAGGTGGAAGAGTTCCGCTGATGGGACGCAAGGGGAAGGCTCCCACAGGACAAGCAAAGGGAAGAAAATATTTAATTGGTTACAGTTATATGGTTCCCCTATTTGCCCTATCCTGTTGGAAAGACCCTACTTATTTATATAAGTACATTTGCTTCTTCTGACTGGTGGAGCTTAAGTTCTGTTCTTCTTTTAAAACACACATTTACAAGAAATAGCTCAAGTTAAGTTTCACTGATGTTTGCAAATCAAGCAAGGTTGAGGTCACTTATGAGGGCTGGCTGATTTTGTCTGCTCAGGGACTCTTTGGGCCTGGTGTCCATTTTCATTAATTTTAACAGGACTCGAAGCAAAAAGTCCTCAAGCTTGCATGGCCACAATCTTAAACTGACCTTGAACCCCCAACCCCAAGCAAAGAATTTTATCTAGACTAACCCTAAACTTTTATAGTCTCTCAACTCATTCATTCATTTGTCCATTCCCACAACCTCATTGCTATGCATGGGGCTTGGTAGGCACTGGGGACATGGGAATGAGATACATTGCATGGCCACAATCTTAAACTGATCTGTAGCCCCCAAACCCCAAGCTAAGAATTTTACCCAAACTAACCCTAAACTCTTATAGTCTCTCCACTCATTCATTCATTTATTCGTTCGTTCCCACAACCTCATTGCTATGCCTGGGACTAGGTAGGCACTGGGGGCACAGGAATAAGATACAGTTGTCACTTGAGACTTCTCCGCTTACAGATGTGTTTTGTTTTCCTTTTTCACCCTTCCCTTTTCAATGTTTCCCACCCAGTACTCAGAATATCCTGAGTTCCCTAAGTTCGGAGGTCATCTCCCTCCGTAACATACACAGTACGCTCCTTCATCCCTTCCCCCATCAGAAGAGTAAGTTGCTTCAGGAGTGGGGATTTTTCTCTTGTGGGACTTCGAGTGCCTGGAATCGGTGCTTCTATGAAACCCCTGCAGTGTGCCCAGCGCTGAGCCAGCGATCATCAAAAGTGTGACCCTTGGGATCACTGTGCTGATGAGGGTGGAAGGAATCAAACACTCACTCACCGATCGGGGAAGTATGCATTGGATTCCTTTCTTGAGAGAAATTTGGAAGCATTTGCCAAAATTATTAAAAATGTGTATGTATTAGATTTTTACATCCATCATTTGATTTAACACAGCAGTGTATTTTGCTTTTATATTTATTTTTCCCATGAAAAAATTAAGGTCTGAAAGTTCTAGAGACTTGCATCCAATGGCATAATGGAGACAGAGGAGAGGGCCATCATCTCCAAAAGCTTTCCCCTGCCCCTTCAGTCCCGGACAAACACTGATCTGGTGGGGTTTTTTTCCTATTGTTTCTCTCTTTCCAGAATGGAAATAGGACAGTATGAAGAACTTTCTGTTGACTTCTTTTGATAAAGTCCAACATATAATTTTTGTGGATCATATTTTAATGTCATATCTGATAAATCTTTGCTTAACTCAAGGTCATGATGATTTTTTCAACAGTTCTGTGAGATATAATTCACATAATACTGACCCTGCTGGGTGCAGTGGCTCATGCTGGTAATTCCAACATTTTGGGAGGCCGAGGCAGGAGGATCACAACGTTAGGAGTTTGAAACCAGCCTGACCAACATGGAGAAATTCAGTCTCTACTAAAAATACAAAAATACAAAAATACAAAAATACATCATTTTGGGCTCCTGTAATCCCAGCTACTTGGGAGGCTGAGGCAGGAGAATCACTTGAACCCCAGAGGCAGAGGTTGTGGTGAGCTGAGATCGCACCACTGCACTCCAGCCTGGGTGACAAGAGCAAAGCTATGTGTCAAGAATAAATAAATAAATAAAATAAATTTGACCCATTTAGAGTGTACAATTCAGTGTTTTTCAATATTTACTGAGTTTTACAACTAACACCACAATCCAATTTTACAGCATCTTCATGTCCGCCCAAAGAAACCCCATGCCCACTGGCAGGCACTCCCTGTATCCGTTTCCGATGACTGCAGACTTGGCGGCTTAAAGCAATAGTACGTGATTATCTCACCGTTCTGAAGGCAGAAGTCTGAAGTCAGTCTCACTGTATTGCCATCAAGATGTCGACAGGGCTGCAGTCTCTCCAGAGACTCTAGGGAAGAATTTGTTCCTTGCCTTTCCAGCTTCAGGTAGCTGCCAGCATTTTTTGGTTTCACTGTTTTACTCCAGTCTGCAAGGCCGGCATCTTGAATCTTGCTCTGTTCCAACTTCACATCACTTTCTCCTGCTTGTGTTCAAATCCCCCTCTGCCTCTCTTACTTATATAAGGATACCTGTAATTGCATTCCGTGCCCATCTCCGTAATCTCCCCATCTCAAGATGTTTGACTCACTCACATCAGCAAAGATCCCTCACTTTTTTTTTTTTTTTTTTTTTTTTGCCATGTGAGGTAACAATCACAGGTTCCAGGGACTAGGACACAGATTTTTCTTTCTTTTTTTTTTTTTCTTTTTGTCAACAGTTCATAGTTTATGGACACAGATATTTTTTTAAGAAGCCATTTATTTATCAGCTTACCACAGTCCTAATTTCTACAGTTCCAGGCAATCACCAATAATTTTGTCTTATAGATTTATCAATTCTGCACATGTCATGAAAACGTAATTGAGTAATATGTGTTCCTTGTAACTGGATTCTTTCACTAAGCATAACGTTTTCCAGGCTTGTCCATGCTGTAGCTATACTTGTGCTATCAGTTGTATTAGCACCTCACTTCTTTTAAAGGCTGAATAATATTCCACTGAAGGGATATATATGTTTCTTGCTTACCATTTGTCAGTTGACAGCTATTTTGTTTCTAGTGCTTAGCTATTAGAAACAGTGTTACGATGACTATTCAGGTACAAGTTTTCATGTGGACATGCGTTTTTATTTCTCTTGAATCAACAGTAGAACTACTGGGTCATATGGCAACTCTATTTTTTAACATTTTTAAGAACTACCCAATAGTTTTCCAAAGTGGCTACAACTTTTACACCCTCTCCAGCAATGTATGAGTGTTCTGCTTTATCTACAATCCCTCCAACACTTGTATTGGCTTTCTGTTTATAACCATCCAGTGGATGTACCTAAGTTTTGAATTATAGTTACCTAATGACTAGTGATATTGAGCAACTTCACCTTGAGCATGTACAATGTGCTCATTTGCATATACTTGGAGAAATGCTTCTTCAATTAGGTTGTTTGTCTTTTATAGCGTTTGCACAATGTTGTGCTACATTTTTCTGGCTTCCATCGTTTCAGATGGGAAATTCACTACAATTAGAATTGGTATTCCTTTATAAATGATTATTTCTCTCTGTCTGTTTTTAAGGTATTTCTTTGTTCTCAGAAGTTTATTTATGCTGTGTCTTGGTGTGTATATCTTTGGGCTTATTATATCTGGGATCAAATCAGATTCTTGCATTTGTAGCTTTAGGTCTTTGGCCAGATTTGATTAGTTTGGACATTTCTTCGAATGAATGCATTTTCAGTCCCACATTTTTTCTCCTTTCCTTCTGGGACTCTGATGATGCAAAGGTTAGCACTTACATTAATGTCCCATAGACAGCTGAGGTTCTGTTCATTTATTTTCAGTCTGTTTTCTCTTTGATCAGACTGAGTCCATTTTCTCAGTCTGCCTTCCAGTTAACTAATTACATACTCTCTCATCTCCACTCTCCTAATTTTAGTTATTGTCGTTTTTAGTTCCCACATTTTTTTTTTGTGATTCTGTTTCCTACGACATCAGATCAAATGTGTTCAGAGAGTACACATTTGGATAATATAATGAATAATTGAATATCCCATACTAAACACATTATAATAAGAATTCAAAGAGAAAATTATTAGAATGTTCCAGAGATAAAAGAGGTCAGTAAAGATGAATGACCAACAGATTGCTATCAGACATTTCCATAGCAACACTAAGAAGGTAAGAAAACAAGGAAATATGTTCAAAATTTTGAAGTATATGTCTTTTACATGTGAACTTACAACACAGAATTTGTCGCCCACTTGAAAATTGTGGTTAAGAAATCTATGACAAATTTGAGGCAAAGAATATTAAGATAAAAGAGTTAAAAGTCATAACCAAATGCTAGTCTTAGCATCTGATTGAGGGAGATGTATTTTTGTTTAGTTCACTTTTATCCCACTACCAAAGTTCTTTAAGTGAAGCTCAATATTTCCATACTGTAAGTGAACCTGTCCCAGTCTGCTGCCATTGTATAAGTTCAATAAATCAAGAAAGGATTGGGTTCAGCCACATACCGCTGAAAACCAAATAGCAGTGGCTTCAGCACACAAGCGTTTGTTTTAGATACCATTTTAATTATAAAAATTCCCAAGCATATGCAAAAGTATCTCACAACAAAGAGATAATCGGCCAGGCATGGTAGCTCACACCTGTAATCCCTGCACTCTGGAAGGCCAAGGCTGGTGGATCACTTGAGGTCAGGAGTTCAAGACCAGCCTGGTCAACATGATGAAACCCCGTCTTTACTAAAAATACAAAAAATTAGCCAGGTGTGGTGACGGCTGCCTGTAATCCCAGCTACTCAGGAGGCTGAGGCAGGAGAATTGCTTGAATCTAGGAGGCAGACGCTACAGTGAGCTGAGATCATGCCACTGCACTCCAGCCAGGGCAGCAAGACCAAAACTCCATCTCAAAAAAAAAAAAAAAAAAAAAAAAAGAGAGAGAGAGAGAGAGAGAGAAGGAAGAGAAGGAGATAATCATACATCTAGACTCCATTTAGCATCACTCAGCTACATTTATTCTTGCCTTCCTTTTTTTTTTTTTTTAATTGGCAATAGCATTCTATACACGATGCTGTGTACTTCAATTAGACTCGCAGAAAACATGTAATCTCTTATCTAGATTCACATTTTGTGCAACACAGCTGGCAGCATTATTTAGACATCTGAGATCCTAAAACCCAGCTGATGCCACCTGGGTATAAGTCCTAAAGGAAGTCTCACCTGATTCCACCAGAGAACATGATGGACAATATTTGTCACAGCATTGTTTGTGATATTGAGAAGTGAAGGCAAAATAGCACATGCAGCCTGAGTTCTGAATGATACACTGTGGGATATGTACACAATGGAATAAGCACGGAAAAAGTCGGCTGTGTATATATACCCAGGAAGGAGCAAAACAAATATATGAACGAGGTCTATCGCAATTTCTTATATCTAAGTTAAAGTACAGCCACAGGGGAAAAAAAATACTGCATGCTTTAAAAGAATGTATTCAAATTTAAGGTTACATATCAAATGCTTTAGAGTGCTTGCTTGGAAGGGAAGGCAAGTGGAAACAGGGAATGAGGATTAAAAAAATACAGAAAGCAAAAGTGTTGCCTCTCACAGACAGATGATGGTCACATGGCAGGAGCTGAGATATACATAAAGAGACCTCCATTTGATGCCTGTATTAGTCCATTTTCATACTGTTCTGAAGAAACACCTGAGACTGGGTAATTCATAAAGAAAAAGAGGTTTGATGGATTCACAGTTCCACATGGCTGGGTAGACCTCACAATCATGGTGGAAGGCGAAGGAGGAACAAAGGCACATCTGACATGGTAGCAGAGAGCATGGAAGAACAGGAAGGGCAACCCTCCTCCAAGATTCAATTACCTCCCACCAGGTCCCTCCCACAACACGTGGGGATTGTGGGAGCTACAATTCAAGATGAGAGACTTGGGTGGGGACGCGACCAAACCATAGCGATGCCCTTCCCCAAAAAGAGCAAAAGAAAATGATACTCCCTTTATGGTAGCCTTCTATAGGGTTAGCATTCAGCTTATGCACTGGTACCCCAAATTGGTTGTTCATGGTGGGCCCCCATTCTAAGTGGTCAGTCCCAGCCTTGCTGGATGTTACCTGGTTGGAAAATGACTGTGCCTCCTCTTTCTTCACAGATACGTGCTCCCCTTCTGTTCCCTAAAACATTTGTCTGTTACTCAACATCAATGTTAGTTCAACTTGATTTTTCACTTTTAGGCTACGAATCTCCACACATTCTAAACAAACAGATTTTTGGCCCCTAACCATCAGATTCCATTGAATGTTCTGGTCTTGTTTTAGGCTGCTGAAATGACTGCTCTCGTCATTTGAACACTTCTGATTTTTAATTTAACTTCTAGAACTTCCTCAGTTTCCAGTCTGCTCGTTACAGCCTTTCTTAGTTTCAATTTTATCATTTATTTTTAAGTCATTTCTCTCTCATTTAGGATATCTGGGGTTGGGGTCGGGAGAGGGGACACATCTCTTCTCTTGCTCAGTTGCACCTGACACATTTCAGTTCAGAGGCTGAATTTAATTAAGCACAAAAGGAAATTCATAGGACTTTCAGGCAGAGCACAGGCAACAAACAGGGAAAATGAGAGGCATCCTGGAGACCTGCTGAGGCAGGGCTGAGAGAACCACAGAGTGCTGGAGTGGGGGAGCCGGGTGCAGCTGAAGATGCTGAGCTGGGTGTTGACTAGGATGCAGAAACCCCCGCCAGGGTCTTCCCAATGGCGGAAGTCAGGGCAGCAGAAGTAGGTGTAAGAGGGCTCAGTGCAGGGGTGAGAGGTCACCACCAGGGAGATGGGGGAGGGGGTGAAAGTTCTCTCCAACAAGCTTGGCACTGGCCTTTCCTCACGGGAAGGTGGGGCCTGATGCTTAGGCTCCCAATAGCTGGACAGGGGAAAAAACTGGGATTCATGCTGGATCCACGCTGTGGCTCACGCACCCAAGGGTCCTGGGGCAGGGCTGGGCTGGGACAATCAGAAACCTCCCTCACTGCTGTCCTGAGATGGGACGAGAGGGGGAAAGTCAGGAATGGAAGTGATGCTTTCCCCGACCCGCTTTTCTGCCCCTTTGTCTCACCCTGTTCCTGTCACCTGTTCTTCCTCTTTCCCTCCTTTCTCCCTGTCACCTGCTTCCTGCCCTGCCCCTTTCTGTCTCCTAAACCGTCTACCCAGGCACCCTCAGCTTTGTTCTTTCATGACAAAGACAGAGGCAGAGCCCTGGGATGGGACTCCTGGAAAGTCTCTGTCTTTTTCTAAGGTCTCTGTCTTCAAGAAGGCAGAGATTGCAAGGAAACACATATTAAAATTGTTCTCAGCTGTCATTTTTCCTGCCTCTGTGATCTGGCTGCTTCTTCCTAACTATCTTTCTAGAAACAGAATCTGGCTCCAGCTCCATTGCCCCCCAGGCAAACCCAGGCCCCACTCACCAGTGGCACCTGCAGGTCAGGAGCACAAACGGGACTCACAGCATCAGCCCCTTGGCCAGGAGGAGTCCACACAGCACAAAGACCAGGAGTCTGGGGCCAGCTGAGCCAAGGCAGAGAGGGGCACTTGATTTCCTGCAGCGGGGAAGGAGAAGAGATGACGGACTTGGGCCAGGATGTCACCTGCTCCTGCAGTGTCCCTAAAGCAGGCCCCTTGTGGCTGGAGCTGTTTGTATAAGGGCCCACCCCGAACTGTGACATAGGGGTGTGGGGCAGGGGTCACAGAGGTCTCTGGGACTGAGAGGAGACCTGGTCAGAAGGAACCTCAAAGTCGTGAGTAGAGGAAAATGCTGGCCAGGGGAAGAACAAGGGATTGGAGTTTAGGGAAGGGGAGGGATAGAGCCAGGGGAGCGGGAACTCTCCCTAATCAGGTCAGATAGGACAGGACCATCAGAAGCCTCTTAGGAATCAGAGCCAAGTGCATCTTCAAGACCAGCCAGATATCACACCTGAAGGAATGAGGCCCAGAGACTGCACAGGACCTGACCAGACCCTTACAAGCAGTGACAGAGCACAGACCTAGACCTCCTGTCTGCTGATCCCGGGGATCCTCCCAGGTACCCTCTGTGTGGCCCCCACTCCTGGCCTGCCTAGCTCTGATTCTGGGACTTCCCTGTCCCAGCAAATCTGCTTTTCCCTTGTGGCCTTAGTAGCTTTCTGCTTCAATATTATTATATGGTAAAGCCAGTGAGCTCTTTTTATATTCATGTTTTTATGATTGACTTAGCCAGTTATATATCTCCTTTTTTATTTTGTATAATTTTAGAGTAAAATTTTCAAGTTCTTTGCAAATGTAAACAAGTTGTGTTTGGGATTACTTTGAAAGACTTTTTAATTTGGGGAAGGCAAGAGGCAATAACATTGTATTATTTCTATTTATTCAGATCACCTGTCATTTTTTAGCATTTTATACTTTTCTCCAAATAAGTCTTGCTTAAATTAAGTCTTTCTAGAAACTTAATGATTTTGTCACTGTAATGAAAACTATCTTATTTTTCTAAATGATTATTCATCATAGAGGTCTCCTTGTGATGTATGTTTGTTGCTTTTGTATCTGGCAGCCTTGCTAAACTCTCTTGTGAAATCTAATGGTTTCTTGTTTCTCATTCTTTTTCTGTGTAGGTGATCCCATCATCTGCCAGTCACGACATTTTTTCCCTCTTCTTGTCTAATCTTCTTTCCTGTAACCTGTTTTCCTTTCCTTCAAGCATTGATCAGAACCTCTGATATTATAGAAGACATTAGTAGTAGCTGTGGAAATCCTTAATTTGAGTTTATGCTTTCTCCACTAAATAATGTTTATTGTGATCACTGGTGTACAATCTTTACCAAGTTACCTGTTCTTATTTCTATTTTGTAAGAGTTTTTTTATATGACATAATGTGCTGAAGGTTCCCAAATGCATTTTGTACATGAGTTGACTTTTTTTCCTGTAGTTTATGAATTTGGTTTACTTATATTAATAAATGATTTAATCTAAGATAACTTATGTTAGTAAGTAACCTAATCTAAGATTAGATTTTCTGAAGTTGAACAATCCTTTCTGTTTTGTGATAAAACTCTACTCAATCATAATACAGTCTTCTCTTTGATGCACTCTTGAATTCAGTTAGCTAATGGTAATTTGTGAATTGGCTTCATGAGCATCAGAGAAATGGACCTATAATTTAGTTTTCTTGTATCCCCCTTAACTGGTTTTGAGACTTTGATGACACTAGCCCCTTCAAATGACCTGGGCTGTTTCTGCTTCTCTTCTATTTTCTGCAACATTTTGTATGAAATATCAATCAAATGTTTCTTAAAAGATTGTGTTACCTGTGAAACCATGTGAGTCTTGAATTTTCTGTGAGGATGGTGCTTACCTAACATTTCAGTTTATTTATTAATCTATTCAAATCTGTTTCTTTTTGTGTTAGTCTTTGCAGTTCATGTTTTTAGGAATTTGTGCACTTCTGATTTAAAACAGCAAGATTTTGTTCAGAGTGTTGGATACAACGAGTTCTAAATTTCTCTTCAAAGAATCAGTATGACAGTATGTTCAGTTCTTTGTCCTCCATTTTAAAATTTAGCTTCCTCGTGCTTTCAGTAAACAACCGTTTTCACCAGTTCTAATCGGTAGTTCACATCTGTTCCCCTAATCCCTTGCTCCATCCTGACTTATCTAGGTCACCTGCTTTGACCTGAGTCACCCTTGCTCACCTGCTCTGATCTGAGTCACCTTTAGTTACCTGTTCCATAACCAGTTTTCCCGCCACTCACTCACCCTGCCACTCTGGTTCATACTCCTGCTCTCGTTAAAATAGCCAATCAGAATTAGCTTAGACTGTGTGGTCTAACCCTGGCCAATTGGGGAAGAAAGCAGCAGTAGGGGCTACCTGCATCAAGTATAAGAACCCCTTCACCTCCTTGTCCAGGTGTGTGCTGGCCATTGCTCCATCTGGGAGATGCACCCTTCTATAGCAGTAAATTGCTTTGCTGACAGAGTGCTACTTCTTTCAGGGCACCGAAAATTTACATGTAACACTAATTTATTTATTTTAAAATCTCTATAGAATGAATGCATGATTATTTTCTTTTTTTCCTTCAATTTGTTGTTATCATCTCCTTTTATCTTCATTTGTCTTGACAACAATATGGCTATCTTTTTAAACTTTTGAAGAATGAATTATGACTTTCTTTGATCTTCATTTTCAACCATTTAATTTATTTCAGTTGTTACCATGATTCTTTCCCTCCTTTATGATACTTTGGGCTTGCTCTGCCGCTCATGTTCCATCTTCTTAAGATGCTTCCTTAGCTCATTAATTGGAAAACTTTCATGTTTTCCAACAAATGTATTTAAAGCTACTAATTGCTCTCCAATATTAACTATGCCCCATACTTTTTGATATGTAGTGGCCATATATCAGAATATATTTTATTACATACTTAATAATTCACATGTGAATGTATTAATAATTAGTTTGAAAAGTACTATTTTATCTTTACTTCTCTTATGCATTCCTTTTTTTTATTTTTTATTTTTTAATAAGACAGGTTTTCACTATATTGGTCAGGCTGATCTTGAACTCCTGACCTCAGGTGATCCACCGGCCTTAGCCTCCAAAGTGCCTGGATTCCGGGTGTGAGCCACCACGCCCGGCCCTCTTATGCATTCCTAATGTCATTGTGTTAGGTTTGGAGAATATATTCTGTGTCATATTGATTCTCTGAAATTTCTTCACACATCTTTTATGTATTCATACAAGGTGTCCTTTTGTAAATACACTCCATGTACTTTAAAGAATGTATACTATCTGTTTTTAATTATGGAGAGGGTTATAAACATGTATTTGTACTTATACACAGTTATATATTTATGAATACCATATTTTATAAAACATACATAATAGGTTTATATAGTTTAGAACATTTTTCATTCTTAAACTACATGTTTACATATTTGAAAATATTTATTTAAAATTATAATTTATTACATATTTTTCCTATATTCTTATACATCTGATTACATATATTTAACATATTTATAAATATTATATGATGGCATACTACCTGGAATTCATTAGTTATTTGGCTTAGAACTTAAACCCCTCTATTTGGTTTTTGTCTCATTGGTCTTTGTTTCTCTGAGAGGTATGTGAGCCTCCAACTAAAATAGCTAATATTTTCTTCTTGCATTTCTGATGGTGTTGCTTCATACATCTCATGGCCAAAATTTAGGCCCACATATGTTTATGACGGCTCTATTTTCACATTCAAGTGCATCTTTCATCAGTATATATTACATATCTTTGTCTATTTTATAGACAAATTATAGACATAATATTTTACCTTAAATTCTATTTTGTTCAATATTAAGAGTGCCAGAACAGTTTATTTTGTTTCCTTATAGCAAAATATATTTTTTCTGACTTTTTCAACTTTTTAAGATCTTTTTGTAAGTGTATCTATCTCCTATAACATTGCAATTTTTAAAACTCAAACAGTGTCTCTATCCTTATTTCGTGAGTTTAATTCACTTAAATTTATTGGAATTGCATTTATGTTAGGACTTAATTCTACCTTTTTATTTCTCATTTTCATTTATTGTGCTTAATTTTTTTTTAATTTGTATCAAACTTTCCTTTGGCTAGAGTTTCATTTTGGTGGATGAAAGGATAGACATTCTCTTGATGTAAACCGAAGACTCATATATACATTGATTTAATACAGTTGCTACATTGAGCTTATCTCATGAGACAAGTACGCAATCATCCTTTCATGAGCTTCTAGTGTGTACTTCTCACCCTGTGTTGATATTGTCTAGTACAGGGGTCCTCAACCCCTGAGCCACAGACCGGTACCAGTTCCGGGCCTGTTAGGAATCAGGCCACACAGCAAGAGGTGTGTGGTGGGCAAGTGAGAGAAATTTAATCTGTATTCACAGCTTCTCCCCCTCACTGGCATCACTGCCTGGTCTCCACCTTCTGTCAGAGCAGTGGTGGCATTAGATTCTACAGTAGCACAAACTCTACTGTGAACTGCACATACCAGGGATCTAGGTTGCACGCTCCTTATGAAAATCAAACACCTGATGATCTGTCACTGTCTTGCATCACCCCAACATGAGACCGTCTAGTCGCAGGAAAACAAGCTCAGGGCTCCCACAGATTCTACATCATGGTGAGTTGTATCATTACTTAATTATATACTGCAATGTAATAGAAATAAAGTGCACAATAACAATAATGCGCTTGAATCATCCTGATATCGTCCCCCTGTCCTAGTCATAGGGATCTTGTCTTCCACGAAACCAGTCCCTGGTGCCAAAAAGGTTGGGGATCACTGGTCTAGAATGTTATTTTTCAATGATCGTGAATGTATTTTCTCTTGTTCTTCATTTTGCTTTTAGCTGCCTTTTCTATGAATCAAAGAAAGATAAAAATAAACTTATTAAGACGCTGGGCACACCTCCTGCAGCATCTCCAGGGGTTATTTCATCCTAGCTGAGTCCTTCCTCCAGAACCATTTTCAGTCAAGATCTTTGCATGTGGCTAACCTTTTGAGGCCTTGAGAGTCCAGAGGTTTTATGATTTCACAATGGAGTGACAATTTGGCTGGATACAAAACACTAGATACAAAGTTTTTCTTTACTGATTTAGAAATATTACTCAATTGTCTTCCTACCTCTAGCGTTCCTCTCAGAGAGAAATCTCATCTTTTTGCTTTGTAGTGATTTGAAAGCCTTCGGGTCTTTTCCAGCTACTTTCCATGCTCTCTCCTTTTACATAATGGGTCTAGAGGTGTGTGTGTGTGTGTGTGTGTGTGTGTGTGTGTGTGTGTCTGTGTCTGTGTGTGTGTATGGTGTGGTGTGTGTGTGTCTGTGTGTCTGTGTGTATGTGTGTCTGTGTGGTGTGGGGTGTGTGTGTGTGTGTGGTGTGTGGTGTGTGTGTGTGTCTCTGTGTGTGTGTGTGTGGTGTGTGGGGTGTGTGTGTGTCTGTGTGTGTCTGTGTGTCTGTGTCTGTGTGTGTGTGTGTGTGTGTGTGTGTGTGTGTGTGTGTGTTTGCTGTTTTCCCCTATTTGGCAACATATGATCTTTTCAGTCTGAGGTCTTTCCTTCTTCTACAGTTTTGAAAAACTTCCTTAGATGCTTTCTTCAAATATTTCTTTCTTTCATCCTTTATCTCCCACGGGTTCTTGATACTTATCAGTTAGTACATCTACTTTTCTCATCACTTCTCCTAACTTCTCTTTGATTTTTAAATCTCCAGAGCTTTCCAGGACCTTCCATGAGAATTCCTCACTCTTCTTACAGCTCACTGGCCAGCCACAGCCATCTTTTATCACACGTGTTGTGGTTTATAATATTTTTTAGAACTATGATTAACATTTTTTTTCCAATGGATCTTCCTCATGATCCACATAGTTCATGTCTTCCCTCACCCCTTTAGCCAGATGATCACAGGTACTTAGAGTTCCTGTGGGACACGCAGATCCCATAGTTCTGCTTCACAGGTTTCTATTGTTGCGTGTGCTGTCATTCCTTTAAGGTAGTGCTTCTACTAACAAACCTAGTTATTTTGGCTCGTGAACTCAGATTCCACGGGGCGTATTAGATACAGATCTGGTAATGGAGAAGAAAGGAAGGCTAAATCCTCTGCCAGTTGAGAGTGAAAAGTGAGAGGAAAAAGCCCTATAGCAGGTAGTCCCCAACCTTTTTGGCACCTGGGACTTGTTCTGTAGAAGACAAATTTTCCATGGACCCGGGAATTGGGGGCTGGTTTCAGGATGACTGAAGCACATTGTATTTATTGGGAACTTTGTTTCTATTATTATTGCATTATAATATGTAATGAAATAATTATACAAGTCACCATCATTCACAGCAGAAGCTGTGGAATCCCGGAGCTTATTTTCCTGCAGCTGGATGACCCCATCTGGGAGTGATGGGAGACAGTGACAGGTCACCAGTCATTCGATTCTCATAAGAAGCATGCAACCTAGAACCCTCACGCGCACAATTCACAACTGTTCATGACACTATGAGAATCTCATGCTGCCACTAATTTGACAGGAGGCAGAGCTCAGGCAGTAATGCAAACTATGAAAAGAGGCTATAAATAAGATGAGCTTCACTGGCTCACCATTCACCTCTTGCTCCACGGCCCAGTTTCTAACAGGCTTGGGGACCCCTGCCCTAGAGCACAAGATCCCAGGGAACCCCGTTAGCTGCCATGCTTGTCCTTTAAATTCCCTGAGACATAGTCTGTGTGTAATCCACCCACCCTGAAGTTTGCAAGAGGAGAGGGCTGGGGAGCAAACACTCTGCCACTTGGTTGTCTATTTTCATCAATCGCCCATGGCTTTGGCTGTGCTTCATGGTCCCCTGGAGCACCTGTGACCTAGTCTATTGCAGCCTGTTCCTACAGTACAGGGAAGGCCGTGATGGCCTCCAAACCCACGACCACAAGGATAGGAGCACCTGTCTCTTGCCGACATCTGCAGACACCCTCTGCCCCAGGCTGTAGTCACTGTCTTCACACTCACCCTTCAACACACCAACACAGCCTCCAGATTCCACATTTTCTGGGTTCCATTTTGTCTCTTTACAGAAATTCATGCTGAACTGTCTTTTTCATGGTTCCTCCACAATTAACAACCTGCATCCTCTTCCCCTTTCCTCTCTATCAAACTTTCAGTCCTGGCCTGGGGGCTCCATGACTGTGCCCTACAGCCCAACCCACCAGAGAAGGATCCCTGGATGCCCTGGACCTGATTCCAAGGTTCAGGAGCTACTCAGGCCCTCTGTTCCCAAGACCTCCCTCCCAGTGGCAAAACCCCTGACCTACCTGGTCTCAGAGCCATTGATGGAGGGATGGTCACAAGTCCCCTCTGGAGAAGTGATCAGAGCTAAGAAGGACACAGAGAAGACAGTGATTGGCCAGGGGACCAGAATGCAGAATGGGATAAGGTCCCCAAAGTGTGAAAGGAAAGGGAGAGGGGCCAGAGGCAGCTCCTAAAGATCCCTCAGGTCGATGGTAGCTGAGGCCTGAAATCTCTGCAACCAGTTGAAGTCAAGTCTGGCACTGTCCTCTCCATGGTGGTGGGAGGCCAGGAGCAGGAGGGTTGGGACATGTGTGCAAGGTCTTCCATATGGACTCCCCTCTGGGGACACCCGCCCATCATCGTGAGAACATGGAGATCTTCCTGATCACATTAGATGGTGCGTGTTTCTCTCCCTAGGTGAGAGCGGACCCTGAAGGTAGCTTCCCACCAGCCTAGGGCCCAGGAGATCAGACCCCAAAGTCAGGCTTCCCTGGTTTCCCCTTCCCTGAATCTGAGGCTCCCAGGATACTTGGTGACCTCTCTTACCTCCCTCCACGGGGGTTTCCAACCTACCTGTGCTTGTTGGGAGCCAGGTGAGGGTCCACACAGGAGATGTGGTTGGGGCTAAAGAGAAAAGACAGCAGAGAGTGACTCTCCAGGGGTCCAGAAGAGAATGGGGTCTACCCCATACATGAGAGGAGGTAGAGGGCCCAGAGCCAGACCCTCAGGATGCCTTAGGTCAGGAGTGGCCTGTGCCTAAGAGCTGCATGCCAGAGCTGTCAGTGTGTGTGTGTGTGTGTGAGAGAGAGAGAGAGAGAGAAAAGAAGAGTCGTGGGTGTGCCTCTGTAACACAAAGAGAGACTCAGAGTGACAGAGAGACAGTGTCTCTGTCCAGGGACCTCTGGGGGCATCTTGCCAACAGTGGGGGCCAGGATGTGCAGGGTGAAGCAGAGGTGAGAGGCTGTGTCTGGGGACAGGATCTTTGCTCCCCTCGACCAGAGCAGAAGACCTGGCAGGATGGGGGGTGACAGAGGCATGGGAGGGGGGATGACATTTCCTCTCCATCCCTGTAGGGTGGCACACAGGAATTTCCTCAAGTAAAGAGCTCACCTGGAGACACCACCAGGCTGACATTTCTGAGAACAGTGATGATGTTTTCGGAAGAGTTGTAGATTCCACACCAGTAAGATCCCGAGTCATTCTGTGTCAGTGGACTCATGGTGATGTTGAAGAAGCCAGCGTTGGGCTCGTCCGAGATTTTGTAACGAGACTGCTGAATTGCTGTCTGGGTCTTGGAGGTGGTGAGCAATAAGGTACACGTATTTGGAGATGTCTGCTGACACCAGGATTTGGGCTGATAGGGCCCTGTCTTGGGTGAGTACCGGCATTGCAGGAAGAGAGTCTGTCCTGAGTGTCTGTGAAGTTCTTCAGGCACAGCACCCTTTACCCTGGAACCTGCAGAAAGAGACCCACGTCAGAGCTGTGGAGGGACCCAACCACCCCTCCAACAGGCTGGGAAAGGGGAGAGGGAACTAATTCTGATGCCCACATCCAGAAGAGCGTTCCCAAATTCTGTCCTCTGGTCACAAAGCCACACTGCCCCCTGGCCCCACTCATTCTTCATTCCTCTCCTTACACCCCCTGCCCTCTTTCCCTCCATGTCACCTGGGGCCAGGAGCAGCAGCAGCACAGGCGGCAGCAGCAGGTGTGGACCCCCACAGGCCATGCCAGCCCAAATCTGTTTCTAACAGTGGAGAGGAGAAAAAGGGGAACCTTCTGAGAAGAGGGAGTCAGACTCTGGGTTGGATTCTGGCCCAGGCTCCCAGTGTCTCTGAGCTGGGACAATTGAGGAAGGTCAGTGCCTTGCTGGGGAAGTGATTGGCCTGGGCGGAGACCAGGGGAGGAGGGGCATCCAGGCTTGGACAGCAGCCACCAGCTATAGGATCTGCTCTGGGCCTGGGCACTTCAGTGCTGCCCACGTTGCTCGGCTGCCTTTCGCCGTGTCTGCTGCTTTAGGCCTTGCAACCGGTCATGCTTCTCCTCTGTTGCTGGGGGCAGCTCTCAGCCTGGCCAAGAATAAAGCTGGTGAATTGAGGGGTCATCCCTCTTTCCTTCTTTCTATGCATTTCCTGTAGGTGCTCAGGGCCCTTGGAGGCATGACCAGACTCCTGAGTTCTGGTCTCAGCCATGGTGGCTCAGTGATGAGGACATTTTGTGGGGGACAGATTTTAATCCCAGGAATTTTAAGATGTTCCCTGGAAATGGTGGGGCCAGGAGACCAGGTGGGTAAGAGAGTGCTGTTCAGGGGTACTTGGAGGGGAAGGCAGGCAGCAGTGGGTCAGTTATGGGGGCTCGGGGTCATCTCAGTCAGCGCTTGCCGGATGAACACGAGTGGGTGAAAGAACAATGTGCGTGTAAAATGCGTAGAGGAAGAAAATGGCCAAAGTGGAGCTATCTAGCAACAAAATCCAGTGGTACCGGGTTACTACCCCATGTGGATAAGAAATCTCTGAGAGTCAGTGCTGGTGTGAGTAAACGGCTGAGTAAGGAACTGGGGGAGCATTGACAGATACCTCGTGTGTCAGGATTCTGCCGTATTCAGAATGTTGGTGTTCCCCCAGCTCATATATTCAAACTTAGCTTTCATGTGATGGCATGAAGAGGTGAAACATTGTGGGAAATTCTTAAGTGATGAAGGCTTCACCCTCAAGAATGAGATGAATGCCCTTATGCCAGAGACTGCAGGAAGCAGATTTGCCCCGTCTGCCACGTGAGGACAGCATTCACGCCTTCGGCCAACTGAGGATGCAGCAAGAAAGTGCCATCTTGGAAGCAGAGAGCAGCCCTCAGCAGATAGCAAGTCCACTGACACCTTGGTCTTTGACTTCCCAGCCTGCAGAACTTTGAGAAAGACATTTCCATTATTTATCAAGTCTCCAGTCTAAGGCATCTTCTCATAGCAGCCTTAAAGGACTGAGAGAGATTGCAAACAACTCTTCCATGTATTCTGTCCTCAAGGGAGGAGCCTAAATGCCAGTGCTTAAGCATGGGCTGTGCAGATGACTTTCCTCCAGAGGACAGCGTGGGGAAGGCAAAGAAGAGTGACTCCACAGTGGAGAAACCTGACACTCACGGTTTCAGCCAGGCGACCAAGGTGCAGACCTTAGAAAAAGAGAGACTTTCCAGGAGTCCCATCCCAGGGCTCTGCCTCTGTCTTTGTCATGAAAGAACAAAGCTGAGAGTGCCTGGGTAGAAGGTTTAGGAGACAGAAAGGGGCAGGGCAGGAAGCAGGTGACAGGGAGAAAGGAGGGAAAGAGGAAGAACAGGTGACAGGAACAGGGTGAGACAAAGGGGCAGAAAAGCGGGTCGGGGAAAGCATCACTTCCATTCCTGACTTTCCCCCTCTCGTCCCATCTCAGGACAGCAGTGAGGGAGGTTTCTGATTGTCCCAGCCCAGCCCTGCCCCAGGACCCTTGGGTGCGTGAGCCACAGCGTGGATCCAGCATGAATCCCAGTTTTTTCCCCCCGTCCAGCTATTGGGAGCCACCCTAAGCATCAGGCCCCACCTTCCCGTGAGGAAAGGCCAGTGCCAAGCCTGTTGGAGAGAACTTTCACCCCCTCCCCCATCTCCCTGGTGGTGACCTCTCACCCCTGCACTGAGCCCTCTTACACTGCTGCCCTGACTTCCGCCATTGGGAAGACCCTGGCAGGGGTTTCTGCATCCTGGTCAACACCCAGCTCAGCATCTTCAGCTGCGCCTGGCTCCTCCACTCCAGCACTCTGTGGTTCTCTCAGCCCTGCCTCAGCAGGTCTCCAGGATGCCTCACATTTTCCCTGTTTGTTGCCTGTGCTCTGCCTGAGAGTCCTATGAATTTCCTTTTGTGCTTAATTAAATTCAGCCTCTGAACTGAAATGTGTCAGGTGCAACTGAGCAAGAGAACAGTTGTAACCCCTCTCCCGACCCCAACCCCAGATATCCTAAATGAGAGAGAAATGACTTAAAAATCAACGATAGAATTGAAACTAAGAAAGCTGTAATCAGCAGATCAAAAAATGAGGAACATCTATAAGTAAAAGAAAAAAATCAGATGCGCTAAAATGATGTCAGCCGGTGACTCAGCAGCCTAACATTCATCCGTAAATGGAACTGGTAATTCAGGGCCAAAATTTTGTTTGCTTAACATGTGAGGAGATTCACAGCCTAAAAGAGAAAATCAAGTTGAACTAACAGTAATTGACGGTGGGTGAAAGATAAATGTTTTCGGGAACAGAAGAGGAGCACAGTTATGAAACAGGAAGAGGCGCATTTTCCAACTAACATCTAGCAAGGCTGGGATTGACCACTTAGAACGGGAGTCCACCAAGGACAGCCAATTTGGGGTACCAGTGCATAGCAGCTGAATGCCAGCCTTGAAAAAGCTCACCTTAAAGACAGCACCATTTTCTTTTGCTCTTTTGGGGGTGGGCCCTCCAACAGAAGACTTCACGTATATCTCAGCTCCTGCCTTGCGACCATCACGTATCTGTGAGAGGCATCACTTTTGCTTTGTTTCTTTATTTTTTTAATCCTCATGTCCTATTTCCACTTCCCTTCCTCTCTGAGGCAACCACGCTAATGCATTTGATATGTAACCTTAAATTGGAATATATTCTTGTAAAGCATGCAGTATTCTTTTTTTCTGCGACTATGTTTTAACTTCCTTAGAAGAAACGTGATAGACCTCTTTCGTATGCTTGTCTGACTCCGTGCCGGCAGCATATACACAGCCCAGTTTTGTCAGTGCTAATTTCATTGTGTGCATATCCCACAGTGCCTCATTCCGAACTCAGGGTGCACGTGCTGTTTTGCCTTCACTTCATATCATAAATAATGCTGCGATGAATACACTCCATCATGTTCTCTTGTAGAATCATGTGAGACTTCCTTTAGGATTTATACCCAGGTGGCATCAGCTGGGTTGTAGGATCTCAGACATCTAATTAATACTGCCCGCTTGCATGGCCTGTACCAAGAATCTAGATTTTAGCGATTATGTGTCTTATTTGAGTCTATGTGAGATACACAGCACAACCTGTGGAATGGTGTTGCCAATAAAAAAAAAAAAAAAGAAGGCAAGAATAAACATAGCTGAGTGATGCTACAGGGGGGCCAGATGTATGATTATCTCTACTTTTGTGTATGCTTGGAAATTTTCATAATTAAAATGATACCTAAAAATAAAACACTTGCATGTTGAAGCCACTGCTGTTTGGTTTTCAGTCATATGTGACCGAACCCAATCCTTTCTTTGTTTATCAAACTTATACTGCAGTGGGTCAGGACAAGTTTACTTGTAGAAGGAAATATTGAGCTTCACTTAAAGAACATTGGTAGTGGGATGAAAATGGGCTAAATAAAAATAGATCTTCCATAATCAGATGCTAAGAGCTAGCATTTAGCTATAACTTTTAAATATTTTATCTTAACATCCTTGGCCTCAAAATTGTCATCATTCCCTTAACCAGAATTTTCAAGCAGATGGTAAATTCTGTGTCATAAGTTAACAACTAAAAATATGTATCTTTCTCTAAAATTTTGAAATTTTTCATTGTTTTCTTACCTTCATAGTGTTGATGTGGAAATGTCTGATAATAATATGATAATTATTCATCTTAACTGACCAATTTTATCTCTGGAACATTTTATTTGCTCTTTGAACTTTTTATTATAATGTGTTTAATGTGGGGTATTTACTTATCCATTCTTCTTCTAATAATAATTCTTCTTCCTCTTCTTCTTCTTTCTCCTTCTCTTTCAAGCAGAAAAGGGGGAGAAGAGTGGGGGAGGGGGTTGGGAAGCCCGGCAACAAAAGGGGGATAAAGCCAAAAGACTACAGTACCCGGTATTGCCAGGTGGTCTCCCATCCAAGTACTAGCCAGGCCCGACCCTGCTGAGCTTCCGAGATCACAGGCGATGGGGCACGTTCAAGGTGGTACGGTATGGCTGTAGACGCCTGCATCGCCTCCTGGCTGCCACGAGAGCCCACGGGGCTGCAGGGGTGGACGGCCACAAGGAGGTCCCAGGCTGCCGCGGGGGGCGCAGGCGGGCAGAAAAGGGGGAGAAGAATCAGGGGGCGGTTGGGAAGCCAGGCAACAAAAGGGTGAAAGAGGGAGGGAGTCGAAAGCCAGAAGCTACATTATCCATTCTATTTGGAACTCTCTGGACACATTCAATATGATGTCTTACATATTTGTTCAATTTGGAAAAATTATTATTTTTCCAAGTACTTATTAGAATACTACTCCATTTACTCCTTTTTCTCCTTTGGGGACTTCTTTGAGGAGATACTGACATTTCTATTTCTATCCTCCATACCTCTTAATGTTTCTCTTACACTGTCTTTCACTTTATTCCTTCCTAATGTCTTTAGGGAGTGCTCCTTGACTCTCCCTTACCTACTCATTCTTCTGCTAGTCATTGCATTCAGAGTTCTTTATTCCAACAATGATCATTTTCTTAAACAATATTTCAGATTTTTTCTTCTTCATTATTGCTTGCTTGCTTGCTCCTGGTTTTTTTTTTTTTTTTTTTTTTTTTTTTTGAGACGGAGTTTTGCTCTTGTTACCCAGGCTGGAGTGCAATGGCATGATCTTGGCTCATCGCAACCTCCGCCTCCTGGGTTCAGGCAATTCCCCTGCCTCAGCCTCTGGAGTAGCTGGGATTACAGGCATGCGCCACCACGCCCAGCTAATTTTTTGTATTTTTAGTAGAGACGAGGTTTCACTATGTTGACCAGGATGGTCTCGATCTCTTGACCTCGTGATCCAC